GAACGAGTGTTGTCATGTGTGATATTTATTGAAGCATGTCAGTCAACTGCGATTAGTTCATAGTTGATTCCTTCTTCTTGTTATCGTGTTAATATCATGAAATTGTTATAGTGTTGTTGTCCATGCCATACCACATGGCACGTAACGGAGAATGTTGTCTGTCTTTTCAGCATAAAATCTGTCATAGAGACCTCAAGCTAGAGAACATTTTGTTGGATGAATATGGAAGTGCTAAGGTAAGTGTTGTGGTAACTGGCAAGCTATTACGCTGTTTTTCGTATACATTAGACTCCTAATTATCTGGGTTAGTTGGGAAATATATTTTCCTGGATAATAGAAATTTGAGATAATCCACAGAAGAGGCAAAAAGTTTCTCCACACATATTGGTAGCCACCTGCAAGACTTTGGTGTCCACAAGACCACAATCTGCGTTTTCTCTGCCATGAAAACCTAAAATTTTCTGAAGTATTTTAATTTTCCACATTTAAAGTGTTTGTATGTTGTGCAGACTGCATCAGGGAATATGTATTACCACTGAACTGAAAATATTTAAAAAATGAAATACTTTTGAAGGAACCTACTTACCACTCGCCCTTGTATTTAGTTCATCCTTAGCGTGGCTTGTTTCTCAGAAGGTGACTCTATAAATAGTGATATCCACGAAACCCTAATAATAATGTAGGGTTCAAGAAATTGTTTGTGATAGATGTTTTTATCTGTGCTGGGATTTTTCACCCAGAACAACACAATTCATGAGAATTTTCTTGTGCCTAAACTGAAAATGTTTGTGTTTCCTGCAAGAAATGTCAACCTTTGTGATGTGTACTAAATATTAGGCGACATGTCTGTTCAAATGTTCCTTGCTCTTGAGTTAGGCATTAAATAATCTATGCATAAGAACTGATGATACCGTTATGTTTAGGTAATTTAACTGAAATACATTTCTTTATAACCATGTCAACAGATCGCAGATTTTGGGTTGTCAAATGTATTTGATGAACAGAGGCTTTTGAATACATTTTGTGGCAGTCCGTTATATGCCTCACCAGAGATAGTCAAAGGAACCCCCTATCATGGACCTGAAGTTGATTGCTGGTGAGAACTATTTAATTAACCTCAATTTTTATTTTATCAGCAGTATATTAATACTATGTTTGTTTAGAGAGTGAAACGAGGTTTAATTACGAAGGCTGTCTTCTGGGTTGTTGCATTATGTAATCTGGTAGAAGTTTGCTGACATTTTAGAAGTGCTTGCTGTAATCACCCTAATGATGGAGGCAGCAGACGCTTCTGAAATGTTATTCTACATGGTGCAACAATCCAAAATACAGCTGTCTTCATACTTATCACCATGAGAAACTTTGAATCTCATTGGAAGTTTAATGTATGCATCTATGAAATTCATATGCACTTAACACATTTTAAACACTTCTTGTGATAAGATCGCAGACATATTTTGAATTTGTATGTGGTTTTCCATGTGATGCTGACACTTGGTGGGAGATGAAGGAAGTTAATAAAAGTATTGAATACATATAGTGGGGTCCGCAGTGGCTGCGCGGTCTGAGGCGTGGGCCTTGTGCCGCTTGGTCGCTGGGACCATGGTTTCGAATCCCACTCAAGCCATGGATGTTTGTCCGCGTTTTTCTGTATTGTGCTGTCCTGCGTACAGGTAGAGGCCTCACGATGGGCTGATCCCTTGTCAAAGGAGTCCTACCGAATGTCTATAGATCAAGCCAATGAAGAGTTGGGACCCGCAGTGCTCAGGCACTTGAAGAACAGGTCGTTCCCAGTATCCAGTATGGAATACATATTGTGAACTTCTGTGTCACAAGTACAATATTTGTATGGATTTAATACTTGTTATCTTTTAACGCAGTTTGGTCTGTATTGAAATAAAGGTTTGTTTTTCAGTCTGTATCAGTGAAACTTTGTACTTGATACAATGTTATGCACCAGCGACAGCACGTGCTTGTAGCGGTTTTTTAACATTGTCACTTTTGATCACACAATGTCAAGAAATACCAGAAAATTAAACCATTATTTTAGGACATGTATGAAAAGGTATCAACGTTATTCATGTCACACATCGTTTAGAAGGTGTTGGCTATGCGTTGGAGATCCAGCTGTTTTTCTGATAGTTTTTAAATGACTGTTTGAAACATGCTATGGTTTTGTATATTTAATGATGATAACCTTTGATAGTGATTAATATATCATTTATGATTTTCAAGCAGGTAACTTGGATATATTTTTAAAGTCTGTCTTTAATTAGTGTACAATTATGTAATTTTCTTAAAGGTCTCTTGGTGTGTTGTTATACACACTTGTGTATGGTGCAATGCCATTTGATGGATCAAACTTCAAGCGGCTTGTAAAGCAAATTTCACAGGGTGACTACTTTGAACCAAAGAAACCATCACGTAAGTTATGTTTAGCTGAAATTGCTTTAATTTATTTATTTATTTGGTTAATTCAGTGATGAACCTTCGGGTTCGGTAAGCCATCTAGTTAGTTAGTTAGTCACTTTCTTTTGTTGCAACAGTGGGATCCAAGTGTTCTAATTCTTGTGCACTAGTCACTTTGGATCACATTAGTGTATATGATGTGGCATGAAGAATGCCTTTGTAATTTTGTACTCCAAAGAGTATATCTTGTCTACTCTATTTGTTATTGTCATTGTGTAATTAGGGCACATAACTTTCACTTCTTTAAAGCAAAATGTTAACTATATTTACCACCAGCTTTAACAAACAGTAATTCTGTATTTTTTTCCCCACAGAACATGTTTATGGGTTTTCATATGATCGTTAGTGTAAAGATTTTATTATTAATTTAAAAAACATTGACAAGTTGACCTTTGTAATGGTTAAGTATTTTGTTTCTGGTGAGGACTCACCGTTTCACACAGAAGCAAACCTAGCCAGAATGTAAAGAGTATTTATGCATTGGTGTACGGTTTATTTCTTATGTACAGCTGCTTCGCCATTGATCCGAGAGATGCTGACCGTTACACCAGCTCGTCGCGCTGATATAGAAAAAATATGCTCTCATTGGTGGGTGAACGAAGGTCACGCAGAGTCATGCCTGGATATAGCAGAGGAATTAGCAAATCAGACACCAGTTCGGCTTGATCTTCTGCTTTCCTTAGCTCCACCACCTCCTGCAGTTGGCAGTGATAAGATGTTGCTCACGGATGAACAGGTAAAATAGCCTTGTGTTGAATACTGGCTGTATTACAAGTACTTAATCTGGTTTTTCATAAAATAAACTGTAGTGAAATTATGAAATACTACTAATGTACGTTTGTTTTAATTGTCTTAGGATGTTTTTCACATCGTAAATTCGGCGTTGCCCATAAGTTACTGACTGGAAAATTTGAGATTTGCCATAAAGAAACTTCATGCCAACTACTGAATTTCATCTGATTTAAGTTTGTTTTGGATTTATGGAATGGAAGTCTTTCACATTAAGGGAAGATCATGGACTGAGGGCCATCGGGTGACCGCTTGAGAGATTTTTATTGAGTTTAATGAATGAAAGAACATATAACAGATTGAGGGTGTTTGAGAATGGTGCTGAGGAGAATATTTGTACATTAGAGGGACAGTGGGAGGAAGCTGGAGAAAACTGCATAATGAGGAGCCGCACAGTGTATACTCATCACCAATTATTATTAGGATGATCAAATCAAGAAGGATGAGCTGGGTAGGGCATGAAGCACGCATGGTGATGAGAAATGTGTGAAAAATTGTGGTCAGGAATCCTGAAGCGATTGGACCATTCAGAGGTCATAAGGTTATAACTGAAATAATTAAAATGACGTTTAATCTATTTAAATATTAAATTATAAACGGTCTTAAAATCGTTTGTGGTTACTTTCTGTATTCATGTGAAGACCTTTGAAGGAAAGTAATTTGTTTTGTAGGATTGAGTTAAATGTAAGATACAAAGTCAGTTCTTATTACAAATATGTGAAGAGTTTTCCTGTTCACTGGAAACATGTTTTTAGGGTGACGGCAACTCCGGAGCAGTTGCTACAGACCAGATAGGACCACCTCGCTGCCACTCAGTTGGCAGTCTAACGGAACTGGATGTACCTTCAGCCGAGCGACGGATACGGGAATTTCAAATGGAGAATCGAAGGGGAAGTGGTGGGGATGCCAAGGATACACCCAAAAGGAAGTTGGAAGAAGGTAAGTGTTATTATTTTGATTTGCTGTCTATATAAATGTTTTTTAAGTATTTGACAGTTTGATAATGACGTATAGAAACTTTCGTGTATAGATACTACATGGCTTTGTATGTTGTGAGGTAAGTTTGCTCTACAGTAAAATAATATTGATTGGTAGTTGCTGTTAAATAGGAGGTTTAAAATGTTTAGGCTGCACTAATCTAGTACAGCGGGAATGTTTGTTGGTAACATTAGATTTAATTTAATTGTGAGATTAGAAAGAATTGTAGAAGTGTCATCATAATACATCTGGGAAGAAACAATGTGTGTTTTTTTACATGCATATTTCGGTGTTTACTAGATTTTATATGTGCGTTACAGGTTTCAGGCTGTAAGTGTTAATGAGAATGTGGAAAACTCAGAATGAAAGACACATGTTTTTTGCATTTTCTTGATTTAATATTCAAAACAATTTAGTGTTAGTGAGCGTCAGAGGCTATATTACTAAAAGGGTGCAAAGAATATGGGTAGATAGGGTGGGGTGAGGTGTGAGAGATTCTCTGACCCAGTGAGCAGTGCGCAACATTGCCAACTGTATTTGCAATCTGTCGGTCGCACTGCACCTAGTAACGGTCAGTTGTGGCATTGATCTTTTACTTGTAAAAAGTTCTGATAACACATGCTTTACACAGTTTATTGTTTAATGTCACTTGTGAAACAATAAAAACTTAAAATGAGAATAAAGTGAGATTGAAACATGTACAGAATCAATTTGAATCAGTAAATAGTGGCATTATGTCTTAAAATATGTGTTGGTTTGTCGTACAGACATTAAGATTCTTGACAGCGTGTGGTGAGGGAGTTGAAGGGGTGGGTGAGGGGTGGTATTAGTGAGACTTGGTAAGGGTATAAGAATGAAGACATTCTGTTACCTGCTTATATTTCTTGCCTTTATCTTTGGCACAATATTGTATTAAGAGAAGGGTTGATAGGTAGATGATGATTGGAAATAATGTCTTCATGCAACAGGAACATCAACTGAGGATGCAGCTCGTGGTGGAGCCAAAAGAAAAGAACGTGTCGGGAGAAGGGAGCATTGTGTTGAACAGAAGGAGTCGGCAGTAAGATCCAGTAGTTGGAGCAGGCGAGGTTCTGACACTGAAGAAAACAGGCAAAGCATGTCAGTTCCTGAGGAGAAAATGGATGTTGATGTTAATACTGGGTTACACGAACCAATCAGTTCGAACGTTACCAAAGAGCCAAATGACCCTCTTGCAGGGAATGGAGAAATTTTGAAGGATAAGACGCACGTAGCTATGGGTGAGATCAAATAACAAACCATTTTAGCAAGTGCTGCTTGATTGTGTCTGCAGAGGAGATCTGTGTACTGATATATCAGACATTTAAAGAGACTGCTTATTTTTTTTTCTCAGGAGTATTAGACTGCTACAGTTGGAACACATGTATTTTAATTCAAAGTGGATTAACATTTTATTGAAGTGTGAGGATAAAATACTGTATGTGTGTCCAAATGCTTACGATAGAGTGATCACGTGCTAATGTATGGCCCATTTTCATTAATAGTTTTGGGGTCAAGAACATTGGGTACTTCTTACTTCTTAATAATTCTCATTTAGTGAACTGTATTGATTATTAATTTTAAATCTGCTGTAGCAGTCAGCGTTCTGTCTAAGATGTAGTTAACTAACTCCAGAGAGCAGAGTCCTTCTTCAGAAGCTGATACTTGCTCAGTTAGTCAAAGCATTTCCTGCATTCTTTGGAACTTGGATATTTATTGCCATGTTCACAAAGCGCAGTAGCTTTAGTTGCCCATTAAAGTATTAATTAATTTATTTATTTTATATCTGGTTTCAGATTCTGCTGAAAGTTGTAAAGCTGATACAGTAACACAGACAACTCTAGAGAAAGATCCGACAAAAACAACCACGACGCGAGACAGAACAACAAGGAAGTCGGTGAAAGGTTCCACAAAAAAATCAAAACCACCATCAGTTGATGGTGTTCCAAGTAATACTGAAACTTTGTTGACTAAAGATATGGAACCTGAAGAAAAAGCAGCGCAAAATAAGGAGCAAGGAACTGGTGTTGAAAAAAATGCAGAGCAAATGTTGACAACAGCGCAGGTGCCATCTGGTGAAAGTGAAATAAAAGAGGGAACAGACAAACCACCAGTTGAAGCAATAAAACCCAAGGTGAAGAAGAAAAAGAAAGTATTGAATAATTCCATATCAGATACTTCAGTAGAAAATAAGCAGAATTCAACAGAAGTAGGTTTGATTGAATCTAGTCAACAACCAACTGATGCTAAGAGTAATTTAAATGATAGTTCTAGTCAAAAAGTGAAAGAAGTAGTGGTAAAAACAGAAGCAGATGAGAGCAAAACAAACAGGAATTCTGATGTTTCTGATAAAATTTTGAAAAATTGTGTATCATCTTCCAAAGACAGTAGTGAAAATAGAACTGTTGATGTGCCAAAGACGGCCGGTGTTAAAACAAAGAAGAGCCGTGGTGATTTAAGCCTTGGTAAATTAAGCTCAAGTAATGATAAATCCTCTGGAGCAGAGGAGTTGGCCACACCCACTAAACCTGTCGAAAGGAGACGTTCAAAAATATTTGAAAATGCCGATAAATTTAATATCTTTCTCGGTGGCTCTGATCCCAAGTCACCGACGACAGAAAAACCAAAAAAAGTATTTATACCTGGAGTTAAAGTTAGTGATTATAAACAGGCATTCGAGAGAAGGTCATCGCTGTCTTCAACTTCCTTGCCGACACCAGTCAAGAACTCTACGTCAAAGAAAGCAGTAGAACAAAATTCTAAAATTATTCCAACAAAAAGTTTATCCTGTGATAATGGTAATGTTGATGCATCTAGGGCTGTAAAAGATGTAGAAAGAAATTCAAACAATACTGACTTGACCACAACATCTGGTTTCAGTTCCTCAAAAGAGTCTGAAAATTCCCAGCACTTGAAGCAGGAGGAAGCATCGCCTGAGTCAGTTGAGGACAATCAATCATCCATGGAGTCCTGTGCAGTTCAGACTGACGAAATAAATTCTGTACGTCCGAATACAAAGGTAAAGAAGGATGGAGCTGATGGGGGTGAAAATATCAGTGCTGAGGAAAGTTTGACAGCAGGCACACTAAAGTGTGAAGAGGCAGATTTAAAATTGGTCCCAGCATTACAAATGACAGATAAAGTGTCCCAGCAAGAAAAAGCCAGGATAAAGAAATTAAAGGACGCAGTTGAAATTATCAGCAATGCGATTGCAGAGGAAAGCAAAAGGGAAACAGATCCATCTGCAGTCAAAAAAATTACATCTACAAAGCCTCCGGTTCCTAGTTCACCTGACAAACCCAAAACGAAGAGCGCTGGAAGTTGTAATTCTTCTTCTCCTAAATCTCCCCCAATTTCTCCTACTGATACATCTTCTGGTAAAAGAACTATTTATGTGCAGGTTGCGCCAAATGATGTGAGAATAGCAACTGTTCAGGTTTCTACTCCGCAGAGTACAAATTTCCCATTTGATGATAAATCTATAGCGAAACAGTTGGCTGACAAAGGCAGTGAAACTCTTCCTGAGAAGCAAAGTGCAAATGAAGCAAATAAGAACGAGGATAGTGACAATATTCATAAGGTTGGTATTCAGTCTATTCTTTTTTGTTTTTTTGCTTTAAAGGGCCTATTAACTTTTTCATATGCTGTGAACTATCTGCGTATTCTTTTACATTCTAAAATGCTTTGAAGTGAAATTTTTGAATACATAATATTACTTTCAGAGGTGCGTGTTGCAAATGCTTATAGTTACATTCTTATTGACCTTGACTCAATGACGAGAAGGAATCTGTTTCTGTGGTGGTAGTGCCATAAACTAATTTTTGGTTATAATGTTATTTGTATGATGTCTACTTTCTTGGCACATACTTGTGTGTAATAACATTCTCAGGGTGGAAATTATTACATTTTTAACATAATTAATAACCATACTTGTTGGTGATCATGATTGTTTTGTTAATTGCACAAGTACCATGTGACCTGTTGTAGATTGTGCAAGTTGTTGCAAAAGAGAAATTCTGGTTTCAGCAAGGAGACACATCTGCTAGTAAGACAGTCAAAACAAACTTGGACCCATCAGTGCCCGCAAAGAAGAAATCGGCTAAAGTTGAAATTACCCTGAAGTCTGCCACATTACCAAGAAGACGAACATCAAAAACTGAAATTCAGTTAGGTACGTATGAGATGCAACCAATCTCTTATGATTAGAAGTTTGCTGTCTTCTGGGTTGTTGCACCATGTAGTCTTGTTGAAGTTTATTGAATTTCAGAGGTGCTTGTCACCTCCATCATCATGGTTATCATAAGCACTTGAGAACCTGAAATGTCACATGACAGTGAACTTTCAGGAATTTGACTTGTGTGACCATTAACTACTCAGTAAGGACTCTTGTGTTTTGTAGGTTTCGCTTCCTCTCAACCAACATCAAGACCAGAGTCAGGAGCACCAGGAGAGTACAGGACTGAAGTGGAACACATGGTTGGTAGTCCTAGTTCTAGGTTGCTAACCCAGCGCTCAGAAGTTGCATTCCCTGTAGCTGCAGCCGCTGATGTGAAGCCATTGTCATACAGGTTAGGGGGCATTACATGTTTAGCATGCTTCTAATAATTGACCGTTTTCTGCGTGTGCACAGGCACATAACTGTTATGGTAATCCGATATTTCATTTTATGTTGCACGTAGGTCATCATCTTTGGAACCAGAAGGAACTCCTAGCAGTAAGAGTAAACCGCGGGAACACATCATACCAATACGCGTGGAAAAGGATATGGGGAGGAATACAGTGTGTAGCCCTCCACCTGCCAAACCTCCAGTTCCTTCTTTACAACAACAGAGGTCGCTGTCTCAGAGGTACTTTGCGTGAACTTCAGCTTATATGTAGCTAAGTTAAAGGACTTTGTTGTGTGGTAATTCTTCCATACAGGTTATAACATATGTATTACTTTAGTTTTTGGGTGGGAGCCATGTTGGATGTTTGGTGTTATCCAACATTTGTCCGTAAAATAAATTAAGAAATAATGTCAAAATTGTGAAGTTTATAAAGAATACAATTTATACAGTGCTGTTTGTAATATAAATAGTGTAATTAAAAACACGGAACCTTTCTTAGATGCTATTAAGGATGATAGAAATAAACAGAGAAAACTTGTGATGTTCCGAGTTATAACACCATGTGATCCGGTAAATTTTTCCCAGCAGTTTGGAGGAACATATTACTTCTACTGTTGCTGTCACTTCACCCTGGAGTTGGAGGTAATGTGTTCTTCCAAAATGTTGGTAACTGTCTACAAGATCACATTGCATCACGGCAAAGAATATCGCAGCTAACATCTTCACTGTTGTAAAGGTACATTTGCGTTTTGTCGTCAAAATGCAGTCTAAATTCTACACTGTGGAAGAAGATATGTATGGAAAATATGTAAAAATATTATGGGGTTTTCGTTTTGAAATACCTGTAACAGGTGAGCTAGACCTAATGCTAGGTTATGTTTAATGAACTTGATGTTCTTTTTGTCATGTTTTAAGATCAAGCAGCTTGTCACGGCAAAGTACTCAGGACTCCGATACGGACAGTACCATCTCAGCGACTGGTCCAGAACCAATTAGAAAATCTCCGAGAGAGTACATCATCCCAATTGCAGTGGAGGGAGGAGGCTATGTTACACCAAGGGCTGGAAGTTTGGAACCTTCCGTGTCAGAAGCTTCAACTGAAGCGTCACGACAGCACCATCGCTCTTCTGGTCGTTTTAGCAAGCCCAGAAGAATGAGGTAATTGGTCTTTTTTTTTCTGAGCTGCAAGTGAAGGAAGGCGTATCTTCTATACCAGTCGATGATTTTCTCCTGATTTGTGTCTATCCTCAGGTAAAACCTAATCTGTTTGGCTCAATCAATTGAGCTAGTCCCTATCGCTGGACTAGGTTATACCTGAGGATGGAAACAGATTCCAGTGTCCAAAATGTTGTTTTTAATTATAGGTATGGTGATGGATAATTTTGTAGTAAGAAAATAATTTTATGTATTTATGTAGGATTGTGGAGGGAAAATGAGCCAAGTATTTGGAAAAGTAAATATTTTGTGTGGTTTTAATGTTAATTGAAGTAACATTTTACTGTATATTCTGTAAATTTTGTTTGTTGTTTCAGTTTGTAAGAAAGCATATGATGTTTCCAGTGTTTGTTAAATGATTCCCACATATTTGTTGCAGCAGTCTGCTAAGCGACAGTGGGGCTAGTGAGGATGAAGGTTTCAACAACCTGAACAGTCCGTTCGTTTCTCTTCAGAGGCACAGTTCTCTGGGCAACGATGACCTGGATGACGAGAGGCCTTTCCATCATATGCACAGGCTAAGGTGAGTCGACCATTTATTGTAACATTGGGCATGATGTTTGATCAGATTTAATTTTGCACTATTTCTGATGAGAAATACTACAGCATCAACCACGTCACTATCATTTTACATCTGTACAAGGTGTGCCATTTAAAATGCAATCCAGTAACAATCATGTACTTTAATAAAAGAACAAAATCACAATCAGGTTCACCCTCGTATAATAGACCCTTCTAAACACGGTATATTCACCAGTAGAATGTGTGTTCATTCTTGAACATTACTTTGTTTTAAAATCTTATGCTGGTGTTTGTGAAGCGTTTAGCCATGCATATCTTGACGTGGAAGTACTGAAAAAAAGGACAATACATTAACTGGTAACAACATTTCAGGTCACAGAAAGTGTTTGTCTGTGATTGCTCATTGAACGGCGAAAAAGCTAAAATACAGCTATGTCAATTTAAACCAATGCATCAGCTGCAAAAATTGGATGTATCTGCAGTATTGCCACTCTAGAAAACTTTTAGCCCGTGGATCATTACCAAAAGAACACTGAAATAACTTATGATATTAAATGTATTGATAAATCAGATAAAGAATAGTAAGTGTTACAAACTGTATGTATTTATAGGAGTTCCAGACCAAGCCGACGACCGCCACTGGAACACAATGACAGTCTGAGCTCTGCTGAAGAGGATGACGATGACGACGGCTTTGAGATTCTTACGGCAGAATCACTCTTCTCCACCCTTCTCTCCAGAGTGAGTTTATAGCTCAAACCATATTCAGACATTGTGGTAGCTTTCATACAATTTTACCATTCTGATTTAATTTGAAGTCTGTTCGTATGGATGGAATACAGAAGCTGGCCCTCGTGCTTCATATTCTGGAAGTCCTGGGTTTAAATTTCATCCTAGAGATCTGACTTGAGATTTCTTTCGGTCTCCTCAGTCCCCCCATATAAATGTTGTGCTAGTATCTTAAAACACAAACCATCATAATTCATTATATTTTCTGACTACAGACTGGATGACTGGGGTTCAATCCCCAGCAGGGGTGAGTATCCAGACCAGCTCTAGGGCTCACCCAGCCTCCTATTCATGCTTACTGGTAGTCAAAATTGCTTATGTCGATTAATTCATCAAAGTTTGAAGGCAAAAGTAATGGGTGATTTTTATGAGATTTTTTTTATCTGTGTGCAATTAAAATTTGTTGCACTTTTGGGTGATTTTTATGAGATTTTTTTTATGTGTGCAATTAAAATTTGTTGCACTTCTCAGGTACGGAGCTTAACCCAGAGGTTGAATGTTGAAGATGGTGGTCGTCCGGGTTTTCCATCTACTCGACTCTTGAGCCACCTAGCAACTTCTCCAACAAGTGGCTTCTGGAGTAACATGTATGGTCGACCAGGAGAGCCACTTTCCAGGTGAAGTTTCATTAGAAACAAATTACTATTTCTAAATTTTTGAAGTAAGTAGTGCAGTAATATCATGCCTAGATATTAGTTATATAGATGGTTTTGTAGTGTTGTTCTCAGAATCTGAAAACATATTTTTGAAAATTGGAGAGATCTAATACTAATATTTTGTACTACACTTGCTGAAACATGCCTCATGCATTTAAAACTGGAGATTAAAGTTACAACTTTTAAAACTATAAAGTGATCACATTATCATTGGCCTGTAATGGCATTTATCATTGTTATTTTATGGTTAAATGATTAACTTATTATTTAGACTCTCATAATATGGCACAGTTTCTAGTAACATCCATATATATATATAAGCATAACAGTAATACTGATAATGTGTTTGTATAAATGCCTCATCACTTCAGTCTCTTATTAAAGATGGTGATTAGTTTTCATGTAGCTTCCCACAGGACTGTAATGTCTACCACGTAAGTATTGTCTGATAATTATTTTATACGAAACAAAATAATCTAGATTCTCATGAATGTATTTACAAACTATGGATCTACATTGAATTTTAATTTTGGGGAAATTTGCGGATTTCATAGAAAAGTACTTGATTGTAAGTCCAGGTAGTGCAGGCTTTTATTTATCTACTGTTTTCCAAATTTGTGCTCACTGTTGCATGTATGTGTAAAAAAATAATTTTTTCCCCATGATCCCAAATGTGATGAATTGAAATAGTCATTCAACTAGTCTATGGATGTGGTCTGTACATTCTTGATTTAATCCTTCGAACTTGAATTTATGAAAATAATATTTAAAAATTGAGTTCCTGCCTTTTATTAAAAAATGCTCCGTCACATAGATCATATGGTAAGTGCTGTATAGAGAATTAATCCTGTTTTTTTCTGAGAATCATATGAAACAAATATATTCTGTGAGCAAAATGCAGTGTTATTGATTATTAAAGCAGGTTTTACAAATATTTACCATTGAACTTTAAAAGGTTAATTTAATTTAAGGTGAACATACTTTGTACTTGCATTTCATTTCATTTGTTGCTTGATTTTATTGTTATACATGTGTTTAATGTGATAAATTTGTTCCTCCACAGGCGAATATCTGAGAGTCAGTTTTCAAGGTCATTTGGGCATGATGGAGATGGCCCAACGCCGTGGCGACGCAGTGTCAGCAGGGATATTTCGGACAGTGACAGTGTCTACAGTGATACAGCAAACGCTATGACACGTGGAGGAACTCTGCCAAGAGGTCGGTATCTGTATACTTGTTTCATGGTCTAGAGAGATGTTTGAAGCTTTTTTCTTCCATGTGGAGTATCTGACCCTTTGCCATTTAACCTATGGGAAAGTACACTTGTTAGATTGTACCGTTTGGTTTGTGTAGTATGAATATTTAAAAATACATTTGTCCACTTATCATGGGTCAGTTAATGGGGACTAGTGGAGAATTTCAGTCTACAGGTATTAAAAATGTAATAATTGTTTATGAAAGGGTTGAAAAAAATTGTATAGCTGTTGTTAGATTTCAAATAATTGTGTGATGCCTCGACGAGACTCTGGGTAAGTGGATTATGTTAAGTTTCTTGTAGATTTAAGTTATATTACTTGAGTTGTGTATCACTATTGAGTAATTTTGAACTTATTAGACTGTACACCCAAACCTAATATGAAAACTGGCAATAATATGTCAGGATTACTGTGTGTTCACTAATTATGTTACTAGCATAGTGTAATCAGTGGACAGCAGAGACAAGAAATTCATACAGAATGTTTGTGGGGAAGCATAATGGAAAGCAAGTATTTGGAAGACTGGAAGAGAAGTAGGAGGATAACATTAAGATGGATTTTTAGATAGGCTGTGAGGCGTGCATTTGGATGGAACTGGCTCAGGATGCATAAAATTTTGGTGGGAAAACCTGTTAGAAAGTAGGAGTGTCTGATTCTTACTGCGGTGAGTACGAAGGTGGCTGTGTTCAGTTTTTTAGTGGTGTGTAGTCTGGTAGAAGTTTTCAGACATTTCAGAGGTCCATGTTGCCTCCATCATGACGGTGCTGCAACCCAGAAGATAGCAATCTTCTGTTATAAAGTTCTCACATTGAAGACTGAGAGGGGTGTGTAAGAATTACATTAAGGTAATTGTTTGGGAAATGGATTTTGAGGTTAGGATGGCTGAGATTCATGTTCAACGAGAGCTTTGGTATTAGTGCCGTCCAACCTTAGAATCTTACTACCAGAGATTTGTTTTTAATGTCTTTGTGAACATTTTTCAAAACATATTGTTATCCTCTCTTATGACCTCTGATGAGGTATGGCACGTTTGATATCAAAATATCACATACAGATTAGTCTAAACTATATTGATGGAGTGTTGTACATGTTTATACAAATTATTTGTTCATTTATCTGTTCGAAAATAATCCAGTGCCTTTGATCACTTTTCTATGGGTACAAGACTCAGTACATGGCATTGTGTACCTGAAGGAAACATCGCGGAAGGCTTGTATGAGAAGTCCACAATTTGATGTCTGCATGAAGCCCTATCTTATAGTTCTGCTATATGTATACATGGAGAGACAAAAGAAATTTAATCAAAAACCACCATCATTGTTTTTCCACACACACGCACATGCCCGCGCCCGTGCAGGCACACACCAGAGGATGATATATATTAATCAGTTCTATATTGATGAGTTTAATGTAAGAATGTAAGGAAAGCTAGAATTGCTTTTGTAATGTTGTATTTAGCACTCTTAACCTAAGAGTTTATAAGCTGAACAGCCAGATCATAATGCTGATTAAGATAATGTTTCAAAGCAAAAGAACGCAATGACTTTCACATATTTATTGCTGTAGTTATTAATATATTTTGATTGTTATCTGTCATTTTTATAAGACAGTTTTTCACACTTTTGTTATATTTTCCAAAAGAAGCCTTGTCAAGTTTTTTTGTACAGCAGGCAATGCTGTGCCCCCCCCCCCACCAAAAAAAATGTAACTTGAGGCTTTCATGGTAACTGAAGGCATTGAAGTCTTCTAGGCAATCAGCCCTGTGACTACGGAATTAATTTCCAGTGTTCTGGATACTGTCGCTGCCACCATCATCTGGAATCGATGTGATTGATCAGATCGTCTTCAGGCCACTGGAATCTAATTCTATGCTTACATAACCTATCACCTGATAAGTCTTTGTTGCATTTACATATTTTTTGAAAATTTGCAACATATATATTACAGGAAATACAATTCTCGATATACTTTTACAATGTCACTTTGTTTTTTGGACATTTAAACAGTGTTAATGTTTTGTGTTTTTGTAAGTGGTTCTAGGTGGAGCAGTAAAGGAAAATGTTACTTCCTTTGTGAAGCAGTTAATTTTTTTTTTTTTTTGAGACAGTGGAAGTCCTTCACCATTTCTGTTAATGAATTTTGTTTACTGTTGCTGTTGCATGGAAGTTGTGTTTTTATTTTTGTTTTATCTTAAAACCTTGCATTATTAATGACCATTCAGAAACTGAGCGATACGTGGAGTGTACTTTTCTGTATGGTAATAGAATATTTCCTAACATTGTGTTCTTGTGTTTGATTTGTTTGGTAGTTAGTGCAGACAATTGAAGTGGTAATTTCAAGGTCATATGCATAAACATTGTCAAACAAAATGAATACATAGGTATCGGCATTAAAGATGGTCAAGAGGAAATACAATGTGTCTGCTTTTAGAACTGAACTAAGAT